GTTGATTTCCCTCTTGAAGCAAAGGACAACAATCCGAAGCATGCTCAATGGAAGAACATATTTGACAATCTCTCGGCCTTTGTGGTGCAGCTTGTTGGGCAACAGCTAGTTGCCTCACAAATGTGGTAAGCTCTTCGATTCTGCTCTCAAGTCTATTCTCTGCTGGCATATGGTAGGTTTGATGGACATTGTGAACCTCTCTCAGTAGGTGTCATGGCTCTTGTGCTAAACTGTTGAGAGTTCTCTGCCATGTTATCAATCAAAGCCCTTGCTACACTAGGTGTCTTATCCATCAAGGCTCCACCACTGGCTGCATCAAGCATACTCCTTTCCATTGGAGCAAGGCCTTCATAAAAGTATTGAATGAGTAACTGGGTCACTAATCTGATGGTGTGGACAGGTGGCACACAACTTCTTGAACCTCTCCCAGTACTCATACAAACTCTCTTGGGAGATCTGTCTGATGCCACTTATCTCCTTTCTTATAGTTGCAGCTCTGGATGCAGGGAAGAACTTCTCCAGAAACATCCTCTTCATGTCCATCCAGCATGTGACAGACCCTGGCTGCAAGTAATACAACCAATCCTTGGCTGCTCCATCTAGTGAGAAAGGAAAAGCCTTCAGCTTGATATGATCTTCAGGAACTCCCTGCGGCCTCATAGTCGAGCACACTATATGAAACTCCTTAAGGTGTTTGTAAGGATCTTCACCTGCACTACCATTAAAATTAGGCAAAAGGTGGATTAGTCCAGACTTAAGCTCAAAAGGAACATCTATATCAGGATATTGAATGCCTAATGGTTGGTAGGTAACATCAGGTGCAGCTAACTCCTTAAGTGTTCTCTCATGATTATTATGTGCCATGGTATCAGAATGAGTGGACAATGTATCGGAAATAGAAGTGCCAAATTCAGAATCACTAAAATAAGAATCACTGCTCAGATCAAGTCTACAATGCTCTCTACGATAACTCCTATCTCTACTACTATGATGCACACTACTTTGACCTCTCTGGAGTCTATGATATGTCCTATCTATCTCAGGATCAATGTCAAACAAATGCACAGACCTGGACCTAGTCATACAAAATCACAAACATCAAAAACAGCAAGCACACAATGCATGAATAATGTCACTTTACAAAGAAAGTACCAAGCAGAGGTGGGAAAATTGAAATCTAACTTGATGATAAATCTATTTTTGATGTAAGATGACACCACAAAAAAAATTTCAGATTCTTTTGAGCACGGCAACTTGGTCAACTAGATACCTAAAGTCAAGAAAAATAGGTCAATAAATGCTTAAAAATAAAAAACTTTTAGAAAACGGGCGATTTTTGAAAATTGGGGAAATCTCAACCGGCAGAGCGGGTTGCAGTGAATGGGAAATTTTGTTTTACCCCAAAGTCATTTGTCGTGGAAAAAATTTTGACACTCCTAGCAAAAGTTATGACACTTTTATGTTGCACAAAATTTTTCTTCACCACCAAGATGTATCTCTTTCTCTACACAAAAATTCAGGCCAAAATTCGACCATTTACTATTTTTTTGGAATTTTTCAAAATCAGTGAGTAGTGGATGAATAGTAAATGAATAGTGCAATTCAGCAATTCAGCAAGGCAAACACGATTTCTACTACTCCTCTGTTTTTGGTTTCTACTAGTCCTCTGTTTTCGCAGGCAGCACATAGTACGGAACCAAAATGCAACTAATCACTCACTCCAATAAATGCAAATCGAATTGAACTCAATGGAATAATGGAACATGCAATCAAACACAACACAATTGAACAACAAAATAGAAACGATTCCTATTACTCCTCTATTTTTTTTTCTGATTTCTGTTTTCAGCATGCATACAATACAACATACACAAAATGCTATTGGATTTAATCACACACTCAAAAACATGAATTAACCAAATCAAATGCAAATGCAAATCAATGCATTACAAGTACAGAATATAATTCTCACAGAATGAAGAACACTTGAACGCAGAAACTATCAAAATCTATACAACACACAAAACGGAAATGCTACACAACTAACAACTCGAAAATGAATCAAAAGCTACGTGTCCCTGGCAACGGCGCCAAATTTGATATAGCTTTATCGAACACTTATCAAATGCACAAGGTTTTTGCAATTATTTGTAGAATAATGTCAACGAAGGTCGAATTCTCAAGGACACGTTTGTATCTAATTCTTCTTTGCCGAATTGTTAAAATGAAACAAAAGATTGGGGAATTTTGAGAGTTTAAGAATAATCTGATCAAACGCATAAAATTCTGGAATAAAAGAGAAATCTAATGAGAATTAATTGATCCACAAGTCATAGGTTCATGCAAACAACATCCTTCATTGTTTCCCTAATTTGAACATCTAATCCATTAACTAATTCAATCGAATTTGCTAACAAACTAGATTATGAATTTGACTAATAGATCTATCAATCTAATTCAATTTCATGAATCAAACTACAATCGCAATTCAATTCAATTCCTATCGCCAAACGTTATCAATATCTTGAAAAATGAAAGAGAAGAGGAGAAAAGAGAATTCAAACTTGGAGCCACTCTGAATCTTCCTTGCAATTCCCTATTCCTTGTGTATCAATCCGAGAAGCCTAGCCTTCCATTGAATCCAATGCTCAGCCAAGTCAAGAAGAGAGAAGAAAACGAAAAGTCACACCAAAAGAAGAGAGAGAATTCGAGAGAGAATTTTAGGAGCCAAAACCGAATTTTAAAAAGTGTGTTAAAACAAAAAAACCAAAAAAAAAACCTCCATCAAAGTGGAGCCTCTAACATATTAATAGGCACCACTTATGATCAAATCCAACACTAAAAGGAAGGGCCCACAAGTGTGATTAAACAGCCCAAATTACAAGCTAATGAAATGTTAATACAAATGAAATGAAATTACAAGAACAAAATTCGAATACAAAATTTCCTGCACAATTTTCCTAACTTCAAAAATTCATAGAAAATATAAAACAGCTTCAATTTGGACGATCTGCACATGAATTTTATAGCCCAGAAAATGAGGAATCCAATGCAACTGGAATCATACTGAACGGACATCTGTGGAAAAAGTTACGATCAAAACAGTGAGTGCAGGTCTGAAAACAGAATTTAGACATTAATTGAAATTTAGTTCCTATCATCCAATTAACTAGGAAATGCCATAATTTGTGAAATAAGGGAACATGAAAGGTAATTTACACACTCTAAAGGATTGAAAATGTGCACAAATAATGCATGCTATCAACATGATTCATCAAACACAAATTCAATTTTCTTGACAAGTAAATCACTAAGAGGTTTTGTTATTTTTGAAAAGTCTTTCATAAACCTCCTATAAAAACCTGCATGGCCTAAGAAACTCCTAATTCCTTGAACATTAATTGGTGGAGGTAGTTTACTAATGACTTCAATTTTGGCTTGGTCCACATCAATTCCTTTTTTCAGAAATTCTATGGCCAAGGACTATTCCCTCTTGGACCATAAAATGACACTTTTCCCAATTCAGCACAAGGTTTGTATCTTGACATCTCTGCAAAACAATGGACAAATTAGATAGACAATCATCAAAAGAATTGCCAAATACAGAAAAATCATCCATGAAGACCTCAATGATCTTTTCTACTAAATCTGAAAAAATGGACAGCATGCACCTTTGGAATGTGGCTGGAGCATTGCACAGTCCAAATGACATCCTTTTATATGCAAATACTCCAAATGGACATGTGAAGAAAGTCTTCTCTTGATCTACTGGATCCACCGCTATTTGATTATAGCCTGAATATCCATCAAGAAAGCAATAAAGTGCATGTCCAGCCAATCTTTCTAACATTTGATCAGCAAATGGTAATGGAAAATGATCCTTCCTTGTTGCATCATTAAGCTTTCTATAATCAATGCACATGCACCAGCCCGTTACAGTTCTAGTGGGTATTAATTCATTCTTTTCATTTGCCACTACAGTTATTCCTCCTTTCTTAGGAACAACTTGAACTGGGCTGACCCATTGACTATCTGAAATTGGGTAGATTATTCCTGCATCCAATAGCTTCATTACCTCTTTTCTAACCACTTCCTTCATAGCTGAATTCAACCTTCTTTGTGGCTATATTACTGGCTTGTAGTTGTCCTCAAACAGAATTCCATGTCTACAAAAGGATGGGTTAATACCTTTCAAATCTGAGATGTGCCATCCAATTGCAGATTTGTGATTCCTTAAAATTCTCAGCAGCTTTTCTTCTTCATCTCCCTTGAGATTATTGCTTATAATCACTGGATATTGATGTCCTTGATCCAGAAAAGAGTACCTCAAGTGAGATGGTAATTGTTTCAGCTCAACTTTCTCCATTTTCTCCTTTTCCTCTTCCTTTTTCAGCTCCTCTCTTGCTGAATTTTTGGATAAAGGGATAATAGGCAGTGTTTCAAGTTGCTGAACATATTCCATGAATTTTTCTTCTCTTTTTACAGCAGCTTGTGAATTCCCTGCAACTATAATTTCCCTTAACATAGAAAATTCGTCAACATTATCAATTAATTGAGGAAATGACATAGATTCTAAAATATCAACTCTCATACAAGTGCTATCATCACTAGGATGTTTAAGTGCTTCAAAAACATTAAATGTAACCTTTTCATCTTGCACTCTAAGCATTAATTCCCCCTTTTGCACATCAATCAAAGCTCTCCCTGTAGCTAAGAAAGGTCTGCCCAATATTAAAGGAATATCGGCATCCACCTCCATATCTAAAATGACAAAATCTGCAGGGAAAATAAACTTGTCAATTTTTACCAATAAATCCTCTACAATACCATATGAATAAGTAAACGATCTGTCTGCAAGTTGTAGAGTGATGCTTGTTGGCTTGACTTCCTCTATTCCAAGTCTTTTCATTATGGCAAGAGGCATAAGGTTGATGCTTGCCCCAAGATCACACAAACCTTTTCCTATTGTACAACTTCCAATAGAGCATGGAATGCTGAATGAGCCTGGATCTTTTAATTTTTGAGGCAGCTTTCTCTGCAAAATAGCACTACATTCTTCAGTCAAAGGGACTGTCTTGTCATTTTCTAACTTTCTCTTCTTGGAAAGCAACTCCTTCATGAATTTTGCATATGAAGGCATTTGTTCTAATGCTTCAGCAAATGGTATATTAATTTGGAGCTTCTTGAAGACGTCTAGAAATCTCTCATACTGCCTTTCTTGCTTAGGATTAGTAACTCTTTGTGGATAAGGCAGTTGCTTGTATTTTTCTTCATCTAGAGGCTTGTTTGAGTCTTCTAAAATTTGCCTCTTTGTTCTTCTCACAGTTTTAGGGAAGGTATCAATTTTTGAATTTTCTCTTTTTAATAGTGTGAAGTTCCCTTCCTCTAGTTCAGATTTAATCTTCTCTTCTTCCTTGGTTTTCTCTCTCTTCTCAGCTAGTTTTGGACTACCCACAATAGGTCCACTTCTAGTCATCACAGCTTGGCATTGTTCTTTTGGATTTATAACTGTGTTGCTTAGGAAATCTCCCATCTTCTCTGCTGGATAGTTTGCTCAGTGTAACTGTTCAATCTGTGTTTCCAATTTCTTCATGGATGATTCTTGATTCTTGAAGCTTGTTTTGTGTTACTTTCATGAATTGCAGCATGGTTTCTTTCCATTTCGTTCAGCCTTTCATTCAGTGGTTTAGAAAAAACCTCTGATTTTTTTGAAGTTGGTTGGCTAGATTCCCTTTGAAATAAGGTTGTTGAGCTGCTGGTCTTGCATTTGAAAATGGAACAGTAGAGTTAGGAATTTTTCCAATTAGAATTTTGGGTATTCCAGCTATGTTGCTAACTGGTTTCTATTATTAGAGAATTGAAAACTAGGAGGAAATGGAAGATTGTTGTCTTTGAAAATTTTCCCATATAATTGACATGTTTCTTGAGATTCAGAATTATTTCCATCACAAGCTCCGTTTACATGATTTCCCTCCAACAAAAATCACACACAAGTGGATTATTCTGGGTTGGTGCAGCTTGTAAGTTGCTGATTTTGTTGGGTGAGTGCAGCTATTTGCTCAAAAAATAGTTGATTTTGCAGCTGATTTTGAGTCAAAAAAGTCTCAAGAAGTTTTGCCTCATAGCCATTACTCCTTGTTGATTGTCTCAAACTACAGCTTTGATGCATGAAGGAGGCCATCATATCTATAATTCCTTGAGCTTCTTCTAGTGATTTGGTGTTCAAAGAACCTCTTGCAGCTGCATCTATCATGGTTCTAGTTGCTGGATTCATCCCATTATAAAAGGTTTCAAAGTTGCATCCATTTCCGGTATGCAATGATGTGGAATCTTCTCAAGAGTTCCTTGTATCGCTCCCATGCCTCATATAAGGTTTCTCCTCTTGCTGGCATGAAGGATGTGATCTCTCTTCTTAACTTTGCAACCTTCGAAGGTGGGAAATATTATAGAGAAAACTTTATTGACCAGATCTGTCCAAAGTAGTTATACTCCCTTGTGGTTTGGGCTTGGAGCCAACATTTTGCCTTGTCCCTCAAAGAAAAATGGAAACAATCTTAATCTGATTTCATCTTCGCTAACTCCATTGATTCTTATAGTATCACATAATGCAGAAAATTAGAAATATGTAAGTTAGGATTATCTAAAATTAAAGTAAGGCAGGTTTAATCTCAAAATGGTTGGCTTGAATGGTTGGTCTGACAATAAAAGAGCTGTATCCATGCATATTAGGTACTCCATAGTCTCCTAAAGTCCTTTGTCTATGTGGTTTAGCCATCTTGCTTCTAAATTTACAGATGAAGTTGGAGAATTGACTTGTTTTTCTGCTGAGTTTGGTGAAGAAGGTGTAAACTGTGAATTCTACTTCTTTTTAGCTGAGTTCTCTGCCCTTGATTCATTTCTTATCCTTCTCAATGTTCTGTTTATTGTCTGGATCAAATACAAGAACATGTTTGTCTTTATTCTTCCCACGCATATAACACAAGGAAAACTAAACACAAACACTAATACTTGAACTTTGATTAGAACACAGAGCAGTAGAGTGCAGAGAAATTGCAATCAAAATATTCTTTAAAAGCTAAAGGAGATAACCTCTATTTATTTAAAAACAAAACAAAAATTTACAACAACTAATATATGTAAAATCACTACCAAAATTTAATACGAAATTGAACTATCACATAGAACTGAATTAAAAAAGAAAATAAATGGTACAATCTAGTTATCCTCTAGTTACTAATGATGTTAAAACTAAGATCCCCGGCAACGGCGCCAAAAACTTGATACACCTTTTCTTATCTTAGTACTTAAATGATGTAATTCACTACTAGCAAGTGTACTAGGTAATTGTAGCAAGTTATAAAATGTGGAAATCAGATTGAGTCCCAAGTATCGTCCTCTAGGATCTTATTTTCAATCACCAATTCACAAGATAATAACCATTTGCACCAAACAATTCATTGAACAAATTTCAATATGCAAGAAAGTAAATTTCAGAATTAAAGAAATGAGAAATTGTTAGAAACAGAATGTTAATTTGTACTATTCGAATGAATTACGAATGAAAGAAAAGTTAGGAATTTATTTCACTAGAATATCAATATTAATTCAGTTCTGCCTTTGAACATTCAAGCAATTGATTGATTATCAATCGGTTTCTCTTTACAGTAACCAAAGATTGATTCCTCAATTCATTGGTCCTAATATTCAACCAAATCCCCTAATTCCTTAGGCCAAATTTAGTTCAATATTGCATTACGAATTAGAACCAAAAGATTGCAAAACAAAGACCACTTATCCTAAGAAAATCAATAGTTTTGGGAATTAATTCAGATCTAAGCAACAAACCCAATTTTCATTAGTGAAGGTTACTTTTTGATTAATCAATTGAACTTCCATTCAAAAAATCAAGTAACACATAATTATCCCTCAATCAAATCAAACCTCAAAGTTCAGAGTCAAAACGAAATCAATATAATCAATTCTAGATCCATAAATCCCTAACAAAAAAGAGTTAGAATCACATTACAATGAAATGGAGAGAAGAAGAAGAAAAGAAGATAAAAGCAGAGAGTCATCTCCATCACTTTATCTTCTCCCAGATTCCTCTAGCAAAGAAGAACAAAAGTCACTCCTATCTTCTCCCTCTGACTTCCCTTGGAAGTTAAAACAGTTACAACCGAATACCAAAACTAAAAAATGACCAAAAAGCTCTCTTTTTTCTAAGTTTCTAATTCCTATTTATAGAGTTCCTCTAATTCTTCAACTTAACCCTTGGAATTCTGAAGTTAGTTATCCCAAGTGTTCTGGAATCTTCTAAAAGTGATACAAAAGCTCCAAAGTCCAGATTTGGTGGGAAAAAGAAGTTATAAAAATTTGCAGAGTGTTGTGCCAAAACGTGCAGTGACTGAACATCACTTCAATGAACGCTTCTGCCATATGCTCAGCTCTGCGTTGCTACCATCTGTTATGAGTAGCCACTCTTTGTTGCACGCCAAAGCTCCAGGTAATGTGCGTTTCAACGCAATGACAATTATCCAGTTTCAGTTGCTGGAGTGTTAACGCGTATCACTCAGAGTAGCCACGCAGATCCAGTGCTATATTTTCTTCTTTCCACGTTCAAACGCCAATCACTTGGAGTTTTAACGCCCAGCTCTTAGGATTTCTTCCAACTTGATTCTTTAACTTTTCTTCTTTAATTTCAGCTTTTAATCCTTCCTTTAAGCACTTTCAACAACTTTCCATCTTTTGCATGAACTCCTACAAAAATCTAAACAATTTTTAATATTTCAACAAAACAACAATTTATACTAATTATTTTATTTTTGTGATCTTTTCAAGTTATTTTTTAGAACTATTTTCCTAATTATTAACCAAAAACTATGCTAAAAACATGGTAAAATATGGATTTATCACCCAAAAAACTTGATACACCTTTTCTTATCTTAGTACTTAAATGATGTAATTCACTACTAGCAAGTGTACTAGGTAATTGTAGCAAGTTATAAAATGTGGAAATCAGATTAAGCCCCAAGTATCATCCTCTAGGATCTTATTTTCAATCACCAATTCACAAGATAATAACCATTTGCACCATACAACTCATTGAACAAATTTCAATATGCAAGAAAGTAAATTTCAGAATTAAAGAAATGAGAAATTGTTAGAACAGAATGTTAATTTGTACTATTCGAATGAATTTACGAATGGAAGAAAAGTTAGGAATTTATTTCACTAGAATATCGATATTAATTTAGTTCTGCCTCTGAACATTCAAGCAATTGATTGATTGTCAATCGGTTTCTCTTTACAATAACCAAAGATTGATTCCTCAATTCATTACAAGAGTCAAGCAGCAACACAATTAACATAAAACTTGGACAGATCCAATTATGATGTATGGTCTTCGGTGGTCAACTTCACCTCTCTAAGAAGGACAAAACGAGACACATAAACAGAGATGTACAGGAACCTACTGTGATAGATTCTACATATCGATGGTGGAAAATGGAGAATGCACCGTTAAAGGCTTGATCTTGAACTCTTTGGACCAAAGTTTTGTGGGAAACTTCGTACGATTCTCTACTGCAAAGCAGGTGGGGATGCTATTGCTACCAGCTATTTTGACAGTAATGACTCTTCTCAGATTTATGATCTCAAAAGGAAAGTTAATAGCGTGAAACAAGCAGGTGGAACGCTGTAGGCTTACTATAATTCTTTTCAAGGACTATAGAGAGAAATACATTTCCAGAGACCAAATCCAATGGTATGTAGTTATGTTAGAAGAGAGGACACATGACAGAGTGTGATGCTTGATCGCGAGTGTCGCGCTCGAACAAATTATTAAAAACCGAATTGCATAAAAATTATGTAGTAAGAGGTATAATCTGAGTCGTCTCCCAATGATGATAATGTTATACGATTATAAATTTAGATGGGTTTTGATTTGTAAAATAATGCTGATTAGAATACAAAGTTAACAAGAATTTAAAACTCTAATCCAAGAATTTAGAAGAACTATGATCATTCTATCACCAGATTCCAAGAAGATGCATCAGCCAACAAATTAGTGATTAACATTAAATTTAAATGAAACCTCAATTCAAATTAAGCATTCACATG